TTTCCCTAATCCCCTTTTAAATGCGTGTATACTATTGGCCTCCACAGCAACCTGCAGCAAAGGATTTCAGTGTTTAGTCATTCCCCAAAAAAGCCCTCCCTTTTGTTTGTTTTAAAACATGTAAATATTGAAGCGCAACACCCAGTCACTTGATTTTGATTTCTCACAACTGCAACTAAAATTAGTTACGGAGGACGAGTGAAAACTAACAGATGAACTCAAGAAAAGAGAGTGAGGAAAAAAACCATCAGAGACGAAGAAAAGTAGACTGAAAGACTTAAACCCCAAGAAATGCTGCCACTACTCTGATGAAAGCACGGTGGACTGTTATGATGCCAGCTGCCTTTCTGAGGATTTTTTTTCACCTCTGTGGGAGGCATTCAAGCACGAGGTAACATTGCAAAAATTCACATGAATGGGTAAACAACTTCTTTCCTTTCAAAAACCTGATCTTCAGAATGGTGAACCAAATCTAGCAGAAATGAACAGAACTGATGTAAGTAGACCCAACTGCACTCAAAGCTTCATTTTAATCTAGGCATTTTGCATAAAAGAAATATCTTTCTATGGTGGCATATACGCACAAACACACACACAGAATTAAAATGCAGATTCTTGCTTCACAGTGCATGTGAGCATCTCCAGATTACGTATGACATATGTGAATTTTTCCTTCAGTTACCTCTGACATTTTCCTGCCATGTATTGTCCTGGAAGATCAGTTCCAGTATATTCAATCAGATTAAAAATAATCTTCATATTTCGGACTCAGATTTTTATGCTGCCCTTTAAGAGGCTTATTCAACAAACCATGAAGGGTTTCATTTATTTTAATAAATGTTAGAATATTTTTTTTCATTTCTTCTTTGTCACATTTATTCCCTGGGCACTACACAGTATGAGAACAATACTGTATGTGTATAGGATCACTTACACTAACTAAAAGAGAGAGTGCCTCAAGTACAAATTGACAAATCAGGATTTTAAATTTCTTGCCTTCTTGCTAGCATTATATAGCATATCTATTTGCAGTATGTACACATATATACATATATATATGTATAAATATTTATGACTTGATTAGCTGGATCATACTACCTAACCTTTTCAACATAGTAGTTTCAAAGTGTCGTATTAAAGCCTGTTGGCCAGCTTCACGTTTCCTGCTCACAGAACTCAAGCCAACAATCTGTGCCAGACTGCAGTTAGCTAATTCAAAAGGAACTTGCAAAAACCATTACACAAACCAAGGGATGAAAATCTAAGCCTTTTTCTTTTCCTGATGCAAACAAATACCTTATCAAAATGAAAACATATCAGATGGGGTTTTGTGTTGTTTTCAAAGCCTTGCAAGTAGTATTCCAAGTAGAGGAAAGATGACGGACATAGGTAATCAGGTATTTTAGAACAATTGTTTTCTCACGGCAAAATCATTAAGACCTTCAGGACTCTCTGGCCAAAGCAGCATAACGACTGCCTCGCTGATTTTACTGGCCATTAAGGAACTGCCAGGAGACTATTTACTGTTTCCACAGGCGCTGACCCAATCTACAAGTCACACCTAGTAACCAAGAACTCAATCAGCCCAACTACTGTGCATGCCTTAGAACATCTTATCATCCAAGTCTAGACATGATGCATCTCAGAAAACAATATGATAGGCACATCAGCCACCACATCTGTATTACAGGAAAGGTGGTAGCTCTATCTTATTTTGAGACCACCTCACTCAATTAAAAGACTGTTTTTCATTTGCTTATAACATTGCCAAGATGCAATGATTTCAGCTCAGACTTTCCATGCTGGGTCCTTGCTTCAGGCTTGTTTTGGACGATTTAAGCCAAAACATTTCCATCATTTCCGAGAACAAGGCTAGGAAAAAAGGTTTTATTTTGCCCCTATTTAAAAAATTCTTTGAAAAGCTTGGGCACTCCTAGGCTTTGGAGTAGGAGCACGAAATGTGTCAGGGTTCGGTCTTTGTGCCAGAACTGTGCTTTCTGTCAACTCATTAGTTTTTCAGAAACTAAAATTTGTAAGAACTGGGACAAACAGGGCACACAGACTGGGACATGGACAGGATTAGAGGGAAAAAAAATGGACTGTCCAGAGCTGAGGAGCCAGTAAAATGGGGAATCGGGGGCAGTTTGCTGCCTCTCGGGCAGGATAGATACGACAAAGATGCATCAGTGAGGAGGCAAGAGACTCAAGGGCAGGTTGGAGGAGACAGGACAAGAGAGGTCAGGCTTCAGTGACCTTGTTCCTCTCATGTTTCTCTATACTGTCTCTACCTCCAGAGCCTGAAGTGTAATCCCTGACTTGCTCGTTCCCAGCACTCCTTGCTGTAAGGTAAAATGTGCTCTGATGCACCTCCACGCTGGCCTGCATTGAAAACTGCCATTGAAATGAGTGTTCCTAGTCGGCTATTTCACTAGGTCCTAGGCAGACGCATTTTTACAGAGAGTTAACCTAAGTGTTTACACAATGCCACACGGTGCACCTTCATTTCCTTCTGTTGGCTTGGAAAAGAAGAAACAAACAAAATAAAGCACAAAAGGACTTTTAAAAGTATTAAGGTAGAAGAGTTGGGCATGAGATTGCAAGGAAAAGCCAGAATCAGGTTCACTGTGCCACTTCACTCAAGCCTGCTTGTGAATGTCACAAGCAGACAACCTGGAACTACACCAGTATTTCACCATTGCCTTAAGGCAAACAGACACACACTTTGACATCACTCCTCTTTTGTATGCTACCTTCTCAGCTGTAAATATACATGGATATACTTTTCCATACTGACACGCCTCAGAACATCACCCATTGTCTTCCATGTACTATTTGTCTAAGGAAAACTTTATAAACTGATTGTGCGTGTACATACATAGCCATGAGGAAAACCACAAAACTGTTATACAAAGTTCAGCACATAGCTTGTGCATGATTTATTATGGAACAATGGCATCTACTACACATGCAAAACTGCAGCTTAATCACCATTCTAAACCTAATTTAATCTTCCAATCTAGGAAAAAAGACAGTGTGGGAGAACAGGTTTAAACCAAGGCTTAGACAGAACTTCACACCCCTGCCCAAATGCATAGTTATTTGGTTTAAGGGATGTCTGCAGTATGATATTCTGAACACATGCCGAGTCCTTTAAAGCCCAATGAATCTCACTTTTTGTGATATTTGAGGAATATCAACATAAACATTTTGCAACCTGCTTCTGTGGGAAAGAAGGCTCTCCCATCACAAGACGTGAAGGACCCACTGAAGGTGTCTGAGAATTGCCAGAGGACAACAAACCCTCCTACTGCAAACCACAGGGTTTCTTCCCTCCTGCAAACCTTCAGGCTCAGAAGCAGGAAGGATATTCACTTCTTTATTCTTCTCTGTGCTGCTGTCCCCATCTGTTGCTGCCTACAGACAGACTGGTAACTACAGACATGAAAGCTGCAATTCACAGAAAGCTTTCCATCCCAGGCAAGCTTCTTCACAACTGTTTTAGATATACTAATTTCTAGGAAAACATAAAAATAGTTCTTCATAAATTCATATGGGAAAAGATTTTCCATGTAAATGTCAGATGCTAAAAAACCTGCCACCTCCAAGGCTATAAACCATTTTTAACAGTCATGCTCAGCTGTCATCACTACTCATACAGTGTATTACTCTACACAAGCTACCGAACATTTTTAGCAGTAATAAAGAAATACATAAACAGAAGATAGCAAAAGTATGTAATAAGCTTGCCCTTTTAACTAATAACTTTTCGTTATTCAAAAAAAGAGAAAAATACTTTTCTGCAAATATTATGGGATGATACTATGAGAGACTTTTCTATCATGCACTTGCTGGGCAGTAATAAAATTCTTTTTTCAAATTATTACATTTTATGCATAAAAAAATCTATCAATTTTTAAGGTATCAGATATCTGAGAGAAAACAGTAGCCAACAATTGGGACCAAAATTTTCATCATAAATTTCCCTTTTAACACAATTAGACAACTTTTTTTTTGGTGAACTTTTTCTTTTACAGTGTACTTACTTTGAAGAAAAACACTTTTTTTTTTTATTTTTCCAAGAAAACTTAGATGCAATAACTACTGCAATTTCAAAAAGTACTTTGTAGTGGGGAAATTGCTTAAGATATTTGTCTATAATTCAGAAATACCTGAGTTACAAGACAAACTTTTATTCATATGTTCACAGTACTATCACACTGAAAAAAAGCTGAATTTATCTCAGTGTCATCAGGTAGCAATCCATTGTTACTCCTTAGATGACTCACAAATAGTGGAAATCGACTACAGAAATCAGGATAACTGCAGAAGTAGCGCCTAGACAAATTTGTGTAAAAGTCAGCCTCTGTAAAAGGAGTGGAGGTGAGGAGTAACAGCAGCTTGAGGACTTACTTAGGAGGTGATGTGAAATATTATAGTATTCTTATGAACTTGCTTGGATAACAAATGGATCTTTCCAACCAGATGCTGCAAATACTTCAAGCTCTAAATTACACTGACTTCTGGCTTCATATTTTAAACCATTGGTTGAATTTAGGAAAGTAGGATCAGGTCCTCATTTTGACCAGAACTTACCAATACTGACATTTTAGATTAATTAAAATCTGTAATTAAGTACAGTGATGCAAATCATATAGGAGACAAACAAAAATGAGTGAACGTGGAGCCTGCTGAGAAATCGAGACACAACCGGCTCTCATTAGAGCTCCTCAAGTGAAATCTCCACAAATAGTGTGACTCCAGTTGAGGACACCAGGGCAACACTGCCCCGTTCCTGGTACAAAGTCCCTTTATCGGGGGTCCCATGGGAGCCAGGCTGAGAAGAAACACTCTGCTCCCCATCAGATTGCCTGAGGAACTCAATTTCACTTTGCAGGTATAGCTCTCTTAGGGTTAATCCCTGGATAACAAAGAACGCTGGGAGGAGAACACAAGGAAAATCTCCGTCCAGAATTCAGCATATTTGAAGAATTGGCTCTTACCTTGCAAGGCATAGGCTTTTTGAAGGAGATTTCAGCTTGAGTCCAAACTCCCTTTGGAGAGTCCAAGACGGACCAGATTTTTTCTTGAACGACATGATTCTCCTCAAAGATATAAACAGCAAGAGTACCACTCATTTGGAAAAACCCATATAAGGCATAAAAAAAACGCAGACAAAACTGCAAGTTTCCTGGCAGGGTTGGGCCATACAGACGTCCAATGTACCCAGGCTGTGATGTAAACTTTGTGTTCGCCAACAAGTAATAACCTGCAAGACAGCACAATTATTAAGTATTTCTAATACACAATTAGCACCGCTGATTTGTTATTAAAGCAGCTTCCGTTATTGCATCAGACTTTGGTTATAAACACGGTTTCTACTGGCAGGAAACAGATTATCACACTCTGTTTGAAAGGAAATAAGAGTTTTTCTAAAAGCATCCCCGCTACTTCAAGATAAAACTGGCACATGGCTAAGTTACCAGAAATAAGCACTTTTCAATTTCACACTGAAAAATTCCCTGGCCTGCTGGCCTCACTGGAAACCTGGCTGTTTCAAGGGTACTGCTCCGAGACTGAAGAATGAAGGACAGGGCACAAGGCCTACTATTCCCTGCAGCAAGTATAATGAGGTGAGACTTTAGCACATATGATTAGGAACCATGAATACTCTACGCAAAGAGATGTGTGAGTTTCAGAACTTTTTAGCAGGCCTTTCACTACGTGGCTTCACTACACAACATTTCACAGTTTTCCCTTAAAAACGCCGACTATCCTAGGCCTGGAAGAGCTAAGACCCCACCATTCCTCTATATGAAAATCAGTGCATTAAGCTACTATTATATTTGCTTGCATATTTTTGTAGAATCATCCCTTCAGTCGCTACAGACCAGTATAGTGAAGATAATCTGATTCACAGCCCTGTGTGACAATTCAACAGGTGACCTTCCCCCTTTACATGTTGGGAGGCACAGCCAGAGTCCCAGTTAAGACAGCGTGGTGTACACTGATTTTCAATGGCAGGGAGCTGCAGTGAGGCAATCTAACCAGTGTGCCGATGGCGTTATTTAATGTGAGCGAACAACGACACAACAGGTTAACCTTTTTATCCAGTTTGACTCTTCTAGTGAAAAGGAGCTTTGATTTACCAAACCCAGTAGTGTGATCTCCCGCTCTATACACATTACGCTTCACTTTCACTCTGCTCCATCCTGGGCCATCTTTGTGATCCTGGTAAAAATTACACAGATCTTCCTCAAAATTGCAGCCTGCCTCAGCAGGATTGAAAGGAGTTCCTAAAAGATAGATGTGTATGTTCTGTTAGGAAAAGCACAGTATAATAAGCATAGGTACTTGAAGCACAAGCATACCAAAAATAGTCTGTTTCATCGTTCTTTCCATTACAGAAGATGAGCATGTGCAAAGATGTTACACATATATAGGGCAAAGTCACAATATCAAACTATCAATTTTCTACTGCAAGTGGGTGTTATTTTACTCTCAGCTGGAGCTGTGATTTTCCTCTCACCATGGGCCCCACCATGTTCAGTCACCAAGACCTCGACCTCCAAATCTTGCAAACACTCCCTAATAGTACAGCTCGTTACTTAACTGTTTTCTAACATTTCCCTCTAACATTTCTAACAGCACCATTTACAGTGAAGTTGATTAAGAGCTAGGCTAAGCTCCCCAGCCCTGCTGATGGCTCCCTCTTGACCTGCAATGTGGAATTCATGGGTCAGGATTTGCTTTAGCCTGAAAAAAATCCCCCTGGTAAACGGGTGCTTTTAAGTAACACACTTCTGTTTCTTTAAAAGCCTTGGTCACTTGTACCAGATTCTGGGTGAAGGAGGGGCACCACCCAAAGCCATCGTGCAATTTTTGGAGTCAGGAGCTGGTGAGTATTGCTCCACGGCAGCACGCACGACCCTTCTGCACAGAGGCTAAGAGGGGCTTCCCAGCAAGGGCAGGGACACAGGCGATCAGCTTCAGGAGAAGCAAAATTTTGGCACTGGAGAGATGCCTGTGGTCTTTTCTGCCTCAAATAAGCCAAATCTAAGCACTGCCCGGGTGTCTTCCTCTGCCTACAGAGAAAAAGGAGGCAGCCCTGGCCTCCCCCTGCTGCTTCCCTAGCTAAATAAAATGCAGTTGGAGCATTACCAGGTCCATGCAGCATTAAAGATTCATCCTTTGGAGAGCAAGTTTAATACTCTGGTACCTTTTCCCTCCATTTGGCTAATATTGAGACCTTTGTTGACCAAAACTTCCAGAAAAATAAGGAAAAAACTTAATGCTGCTATATACACTGCTATGGCTGACTACAAGGAGAGTGAAAATCTCTTGTTTTTTAACATCTCTACTCACAACAATTGAGGATAGAAATAGGAGATAAGCCTGAAGGATTGACCAGCTTTGTTGTAGTTCAACAAAATATAATGAAAATGATTGGTATTAATTTCTCAAACAGAAAAATACCCCATCAAAACCTCAAAACCAGAGCGAGTAGGCAAAGCTCTAACTGAACCTATTTGTCCTGGTTTGAGGTAAAACAGGACCCAATTTTGTTCAGTAACTTTACTTCTTAGCTGGGCTTCTTCTGACTACTGAAATTAGCAGCATATTGTGCAGACAATATTCGCTCTCAGAATGGTAAGACCTATGTTTATAGCTGATGCCCAGGCATGGTATGCAGAGAGGCTCTCGCTTATACTTATTGCTATAACAGCCAAGGCCAACCAACTTTGTTATTTGCCCCGTTGGAGGGTCAGAAGTGGAAAAGTGTAGAGGGGTCCCACCTGTGGGGAGGTGTGGACAGGACAGGTGACCCAAAAGTGACCAACGGGGTATTCCATCCCATCTGCCTCATGGTTAGTATAAAAGCTGAGGGATCAAAGGGTCAGTGCTCTTTCTTCAATGGCCAACGTTTGAAGAGGGATAGGGGGGAGCATCTGCCAGTCCCATCTGGGGTCCCCCACTTCCCCAGTAGCTGATTTGGCCTAAACCACGACACTGTCAAATTTACCGGTCAGAGTAGACCTGACCTTGGGCCATGACAGCTTGACTAAATCAGGGTTGGGGCAGAAAATACTATAAAGTTTATCCCATACCTCAGCGCATATAAGCCATCTGAAAATTAAAATGGAAAGCACAGATGAGCACACAGCTCCAACCCATGGCATACTGCAATCATAACTTGGAATTTTTGTTGCAAAACAAAGCAAAAACAGAACAGGCATTGAGGACTTAATGAAGTCCTGAGCCAAGAGTCATGGATTAATAACATATCTGGAATCTACCTCCTATTGACCTTTAAAGGTCCCTTCCAGCCCAAACTATTCGATGTTGATACTTGAGCAGTGCAGGTAAAACTAGCAGAGAGTCCAAGCAGACAAAAAAGGGCAAAAGATCTGTTTCCTTCATCACTTCAAGACTTCAGCCAAAAGTTCAAACTTGTGACTGAAAGAATGGGTGAGCTCAGTGGGAAACCACTAATCTACTTTTGACTATTGCTACAGTAAAACCCAAGCAACCAGTACACAGGTACTTAAGAGGCTGCACTCAAAAATAACAAAGTCCTTCGTCCCAAGTGCCTCTACAGCAGAGGTCACGTGGATTCAGCTGACTTCTGCTGCTGTGAAAACCTACTAAAATCCTGACAGGCATGCCACTCTCTGAGATAAATAATACATCCTGGAACGGTGAAGGCAGGAAGGCAAGGCTCCCGTTTTGGCTCTGAAGAACACCTCAGGGCGTGTGGCATGGAAGAAGATATTCCCTACATTGACAATATTGAAAAGCCCAGGACATTTTCTTCCTCATACTGTCACACCTGGGAAAATCCCCCGCTCTGCAACAGGCCTGCAAGTGGTAATTTGTTTAAAAGCTGGGGGAGGACGGGGATGGATGGTGCAAAACCCACATTCAGTCCAGTGCTCCAGTTGCAGATCCTTGAGGCAAGGTGTTTGGGGGGAAAGCATTAAGGACTGGTTTCCGTATCAGATGAATGGCATTAGTGTTCATCTGCTGTTTTGTCGCCAGGAGGAAGAGGAGCCCAATGGCGCTGGTCAGTTGAGAAGGTAGCATCTGCACATCTCTACCAAATATTGCAAATAATGACAAATGGTTCAGAGGGGCAAAGGGGGAAAACAAGGAAGGTAGGTAGCAATAAGAACTCATACCTGTCTGATTGCTGCAGTAAACCGGAGAGAAAGAAATGTCATCAAGGGCAACGTAACCTCCCTTGGCGCTATTGAAAGCAACTTCAAATATTACCTGGAAATGATAATCATTTGTTATTCGTCTACCACATACACAACAATAATTTTGGTACACATCTTTGTATTACAGAATTCTGATTGGATGTCCCAGACAGACTCCAGGGCATCTCAGACAGCACTGCAGGTGTTGGGACAAATTAAATTTTGTCACTTATTAGGGATACAAATCAGAGCCTGACCCTGGCACCAGATCTTTGCCCAATCAAGGTCAAGGAGAAATCAAGGGGAACATAGCTCTTCTGCTATTTTATGAAACATTGGCTTTAAAGATAAGAGTAAGGCTACTGTACCATACAAAGCCATTATTCAGGGTCATCAGTCTGTATTGAGTATAGCTCCAAAGCTGTCTAATTATTAGTGTATCTAGAATCTATCTGGATCAAGAGCTAAAAACAAACTGTGGATTACTCTGCTGTTACAATATCAAGTTTTACTGTTTTCTCTAAACATTTGCAGATGCTGAAACCTGTGCCTTGGCATCAGCTGGCAGGAAAGATTTCCTTTTAAGATTGCTTAAGATTACTTAAGAACCAGAAAAGCTATTGCTTTTTTTGTTTACCACAAAAATCAAACAATGTTTGTACTTAACCATTCCCAAGGGACATAATTTCCTCAAGTGGAGGACAATCCATAACTCTTGAGGAAGCGTCTTAAAATTTCTCTTAAGTATCAAAGCTCTGAGTTACAGGAAAACTTTGAGAAGAGGCCTGAATTACAAGGCAGCCCCAGGGACAAAACAAGGATATAAGGACAAATGCTTCCAGAGTGAGGTCCTGTTCAGTGAAAGCAATGCCTCTGATGTCTTGCCTAGGGATAGGAGCCAAACTAGGAGAGCTGTGAAAGAATCCTGAGTGGTCTGCTTTAGCCAGATGAAACAAAGAGGAAGGCACTCTTGAAGCAAATGAAGAAATTATCTGCAAGATTTAATCTTATGTCTATAAAGTGATCTCTCAAATAATGACCGTGTTGGTTTACAGCAGAAGTCACCTAAAGAAAGAACTGAAGACAATTTTTCAGTTCTTCCCTCACACTGCATTCCTTTTTTTCTGGATTCTTTCTTTCCCATTAATTTGTCTAATCAGCTTTTAAAACTAATCAGAATAATGGTATCCATATTATGCTGTGGAAGGGAGTTTTACAGTTAGGTGATTTAGAAAAAAATCCTCCCCTTGGTTTACTTTAAAACTGCTACCTGGTAATTAAGAATTTGGAATAGCAACATAAATTATGAGTGAAAGGGAACAGTTAATCTTTTCTGTGTCAGTCATGATTTTCATGAACCTCTGCCATATTCTACTTCAGTCAATTTTTTTTTATGGGCTGAAAACTGTTATTTCATCAAGGTAACTTCTCCATAGTTTTGATTTACCCCATCTCCCTCTTGTAGTTCTAGGATATTCTTTTTTAACTGCGAGGGTTGGAGTTGCATACTCTGCTGAACACAGGGGTACCCTGTGCATTCATCCAGTGGTACGACATCCTCTGTTGTGCTGTTTATTCCAGTATAGATATTTTCCAACATTCTGGATGGTTTTATGAATGCCACTAAGAACTGAGAGGATATTTTCACAAAACTAATCAAAGTAATGCCAAGCTCTAAGTGATCATTCATTAATTTCCATCTGTAGCACTAGGACTGGTTTTACCCTTCCATGTTACCTTATATTTGTTGAATAAGTAATTCACTTAGCATTCAGTATTATGAGACCTTATTAGATCTAATCTCCTTTCCTGTACCATTTGAGGTCTGACAATTCAAATGGATGACTTGGTCACTGACTTTTCATAGTATAAAAGGACTATATAACATCTGATTAAAATTAGCTTTACCCCTTACAATTTCTGAAAATCTACAGGCTTATGGTGAATTAACAAATACCTTATGTGGAGTCAAAGCAAGTAGAATGAAAGCCAATTTATTTGTAATCCTAGTATTAGAAGTATATATATATGGAGAGATTATATATATATATAAAAATTACATATATCTATATAAAATATATATTATATATATGTACACATGTAAGTATATGTGTGCATATATAATACAGATACACTGTTTAGTCCAATCATCTAAGATATTTACATATGTATTAGATATAAGAATATTTTACATATATATAAAGGCATAATGCATATATGTGTGTACGTATATATACACCCTACATATATACATCCACACACATTTTTATACATATATATGTGTGTTTGTGTGTCTATATATATTCATACACAGATATATACATATAGGATGTTGACACCAATCTTCTAAGGTTTGGGATTTTTTCAGTAAACTCTGGGGAATAAAAAATTTAATTTCTTTCTGACACTTTTGAAATTAATTATAGTAACCATAGAGAGCTGGCTTTCACATCTAAGGACTAATGTACTATTAGGACCCATGTTTGGACTCTATCTCATGAAAGTACAGAAAGACTGAATTGCAGGGTCACATAAGGCAGAGAATAGAACTCAAATATTTTTTTTTAATTTTTTCTTCTGCAGTGGGAGGCACGCATTATGTTATGATACTCAGCATCCTCAAAAATGGATCATCAAGTCACAGAAATATGGGACTGACAGACCTTTGACATTATTTAGTAGGAACTGAAAGACCTCACATTAGTAGGACTCTGCAACCTCCCAAGGTATTCTGTTCAAGCACTTCACCACCTCACTTCATCTCTGCTGAAAAGCAAGCACCAGTATGGAAAGTGATTCCTCCTTGACCCTTGTTGTTTCCTTGGACTAAGGAAACAACAGATCACCAGTGTCTTTATAGCCATCATTCAGATACTGGACGTCCACAGCCACGTTCCTGACTTGGTCTGAGTCGGCACTGGTGTCTGATGAAACCTGGGAGTCGTAACTGGACTGTACAGGAATGATTGCGTTACCTCCATGGGGTACGGTGCATTGAAGTCAACTTCTGCTAGCGCCCAGTCCGCACTCAGTGCACTCTCTGTTTTCCAGATCTCCTCATAAAAGCCACTAGTGTCTCTCAAGTAAACGGTAAAAACGATGCTACTCTCCTGCTTAAGTTGATAATAAAAAGATAAGCAGCCAGACATTGGGGCCGTGGTCTTTGGTGAGATTAGCTGGGCCACTTCCTGAAAATGTTTGACGTAAACAGAGTCCACATACATGTAGTGACCTAAAAGTATAAAAGAAACTTGGTATAAAGACACTCTGCAAAGGACACAACTCACAAGAATTATCAGGAGATGGGCAGGGATGAGGCATATATCTTTACAAACTGGACAACAATGGTTGATTCCTAGGAAATTTTAGTAATTCTAAGGGATTTTTTTTTCTCCTTTCCTCAACTTTTGTACAACCCAAAGCTGTTTAGCTAAGACACCACCGGCAAAACAAGTAAGTCTCAGCAATTTCTTAAGTCTTTATTCGAGACCTTCATATTAAAGAAAGTAATAAACTCTCTGAATTTTGGGAGCCATTCATAAAAAAAGTGTTACAACTGAGTAAATTCCCTCCCTCCCAACAGCTCAGTATTTAGTCTTTTTCCAAATACAACTTTTACTGAGGCAACCCAAGTAAATGAACAAGACTGTGAGCTATGAGTTTCCTCATGTTTTACTCAGCAGTTCATTTAATGTATCAAATGAATTGGCAAATAACATTTATTCTGCACATTTCACTGCTTGTGTAATTCTGCTTGGTCTATCAAAGATTTGGTTTCAAAATGTTTTATCTTTACTGAATAGATTGCTTTTTCATAAAATCCATAAAAAAGACTTTTGGGAGAAGCTAATCAACAGAAAAATGCATTACAGATTAGTAGATGCCCTCCCCACAACAGCCGATACGACGAGCAGGATTTTCAAAGGGTACAGCTTCTCAGACTAATTTTGGGAGAGCTAGCTTGATTTAAACAGGACACATCCATGTGCACGGATATACTGTGCATCTGTAGTTTTTCTTCTACACTCCCAGGAACACAACATCAAACAGTGTCAGCTGATGAACGGAAAAATGGTTCTTCACAAGTAGAAAACTTAGAGGAGAATGAAGTGTCAAACTGATGAGGTACTTCAGCAGGGACACTGCAAACTGTGCCGTTAGGTTTGCATCTACACCACTACATTAATTAGCTAATAGTGTTCTCAAACCTGGAGACGTCACTTCTCACTTCACTCCAGTGGAAGGAGGCGAAAGGGCTTGCTTGGCTATGGGTGTTCTCCAGCCTGTTCGCTGCCAGGGGACTGGTGACACTTCAGATGTACTTGCCTGAGAACTTCTGGGCTTCATTTTTGCTCTTGCAGTTTTACCACATTTCATAGCTTAATTATGATTTCGCTGGCTGATGTACCTTCATAGCACAATTCTTGCAAAAAGAAGGCTCTTCTGTGACTTTTGGCTTCTTGGGGCCTTCTCAGTCAATGGTCAGCAGAGAGGTTTGGTGTGAAAAAGAAACACTGTGGCTACAAGAAAACAGATCCCTCCCAGTTGGTGGCATTTCCTGTCACATACAGTATTTTATTTATTAGGTAGAGCCACTGTCTGCTGTTGAAGTTGTGTTGAGTTAAACTTCCATCAAAATTTTACCAGCATGTAGGTGCCATGGGCTGACACTCTGTACTCAACTCACACAATTGTGAAATAAATGAAAAGGCACAGCGGCATGAGTTAAGGAAAGAGGATCAACCCTGCTTTCCATGATGCAATTCTTTGCACCATCACAATCATCACGTTGTCTGAGACGCGCAGTGTGCTGCAGCAGCCAGATCTCCTGACCGTCACTTGTCACGGTGCTTCATGCAACACTACATCAAAGGCTAAGACATCTCCCAACCCTTCTCTATGACTATGTAAAACATTCTCCGAACAAGGTGGCCTGGAAAAGTATTTCATATGGGGCAAGTGCTGAAAATCCTTTAAGTCCTTACGGCATTCTGCCTCCAATGGACTGTATTAACAACACCATAGTTGACCAAAAGAAACCAAACTCCTAAACTGTGCAATTTAACCCGAGATTCTCCAAACGTATGTCCATCCCTTAGCTTTCCTGCTCAACTTTCCCAATAGCCACTGGAAAGAAAACCCCTGCCAGACGTACAGAGCAGTGGTACAAGATTTTAAAACTTACTGTGCCCATAGTTTTAGAATCCACAGAAAGATGAATTTTCCCCCTCTCCATCCAAAATTTTATTCTTACTTTGAATAAGAATAAAACCTTACTATAAAGCTTACACAAAACTTGGTGTGAACATCTGCAAATTCCCCCCACCTTTTTCTAATCCCTTTTTTTCACGTAAGTAATTCTTACCCCACCCAATGCCAGGAGAAAGGAAAGAACTCACATAATAATTTGCAGTCTAAGAGTCATACATGGATCACAGACTCAAATCTTCCCCTATAATTCTGTTTTACATTTGTTGCTTACCCAGTTCACTATTAAGTGTGTGGTCTTTGGGCAGGATAGATTGAGAATTGCGAATGTTCCCTCCACCAACAAACCAGTTGACATTGGGGTTCCAGCGGTTCACAAAGCCACAAAGATGATTTTCTTCAAAGTCACATTCTGCAATTGCAGACATCACCAGCTCAGTGCACACATTTTCATGACAGAAACTGGAAGAGAGGCTATTGCTAAGTGCTGGCCTTGTTTTACATATGGCAGTGCAGATAACACCTATATTTATAAAAGTGGACATGGCACTTATAATAAATGGAAGAAAACTTAGCCACAGTTTTTGATCAATTTTTGATAAAATTCTCGTTTCCATCCTGTTCAGCCTGATCTATCTTTTTCATTATTTGGCAATACAGGAGTGCTGTAATTTAGAACCAAATAAAATAGATCTAAAATATACCACTTATGAATTAGTCAGAGCAGAACTTCCACTTGTAAATCAGGGACGGCTAGAAGCAAAGCAGGGCTAGTATTTCACAGCGGTAATGAGACTACTTCGTTTCCTTCACAGAGCCAAAGAATTGTGACAATTTGGTTGGACTCCATCAGAGCTCCGCAGAAATGCAAAGGTCTCCCGGCCTCCTAATGACTGAAATTTTTGAACTTCATCAGCAGTTTTTTGGCAAATGTCATGAGGAAATAGCAGTAAGTGTAAATATCAACAGAGTTTTGACTCTGCGGCCTCCAAAATGCCAGCGTCAAGAAGCACAAGCAGGCAGACAGCAGAAATAATGTCACAGCTGTTGTGTCCAGTATTTGCAGCAGTCTAGTTTTGTGAAAATATAACACTTGTTCCTGCTTGAACAATAAATATCTTCAGAATGAATTATTGTATGTGAAATGTCTATATATATCACAGCAATGGGTGAATAACAGTACATATTAGTGTGTGCAACCTTAGCTTAAAAAATATATCAAATATGACAGTCTATGTTTCAATAAGGAAAAAGCCATTGCCTTTTTTCTAAACCCAGAGCTTTAATTGAGTTTTAAAACTGCCATCAAGACATTTTTTCTATGCAGACAATATGGGAGCTGAGCAGACACTACTTACCAATACAATACCCAGGAGTTATTTTAATTTCAAAAACTGCTATACTGGCGGATTTATCTTGTCCCATTTCACCTTCCAGTATGAGCTACACAAAACAAAACAAACCACAAATTTTAGGGTTTCAGTATTTCCATTATCACCCTGGACATTTAAACAGGATAAACAGGAGAACAAAATAAATACATGTGGGGGACTCATCATCCTCACAGTCAGGAGCAATGCTTTTGCTGGAAGAGCTTTGCAGAATGCATTAAAGATGGAGTCAATGCCCTTCCTCGAGGACAGAAGGCATGCTGAAGGACAATGAGACAAAGCCAAAAAATCCCACATTTCATATAAGAGTATGGGGCTCCAGATTCCTCAGCTGTGGCTATAAAAAGCGTTATTGTGAGAGATGCGATGTGATGGGTCTTGGGTAGAAATAATCTCCTCTCAGCTTCTGACTCCTCCCAGAAGGGCCCAGAGGACAGGAACAAGTGAGTGCAGCTGCTGACCCAAGACCTGGCAGGTCCCGTACAGGACACCAGCAGCTCCACAGGGCTGCCACGAGCTGAGGCGTCCTCGCTGCATGGCTAAGCCAGCTGTGCTTTCCCACACATCTGCTGGGAAGAGCACTGACTGCCTGACTCGAGCCACCTCTGCTCACTGAGGACTGACTCCCATGTTGACAGCCCTAAAGGTGAAAGCCAAGAATAGGATCCAGAGCAGAAGTGTTCCAAAAGCTGTCCATACACCCCAACCCCTGCATCAGAAAGCCTGTGGCATCTTCTAAAGTCGGGCTTACCTTGTACTTCTTTGTGCTGTTCATTAAATCTAAGCTAGCTATAAGCCAGCTGTCTGAGGGCTCCTTGGCTGACCACAGCAAACGATCAAAGCTCTCTCCTTCCTGCCTCAGGTACAGGTTGAGCCTGGCGGGATCAGGCGAAGGCTCTGAAGTCGTTGCTATCTGATAAATCAGTCTGATGCAGCTCCACTCCTCAGAGTACAGCTCAGGGCTGGACAGCACTGCTTTCTCACCCTCGTAAGATGTATCCACAGAAATGTAATGTCCTGGGAACAGGCACACATCAGAATAATAAATGTCAGAGGCTTTGTTTTCACCTCCCTGGACAGAAGTACTCATTTACAAAGGAACGGTTGTTCTGGGGCTAGGTTGGGAGATTGAGACTGCCACTCATTCATTAAGCAAGTAATTTAGCCTTTTGATATCCCACCGTACCCACACAAACACCAGTTCATGTGTCTCACAGCATTTTTTATCTCAATTTTAAAATCATTGGAAAACTTCAGAGAAAGATGTTTTATCAGCGTAAAGCAGATTATTAAGTAAGTATTGCCCTCCAGAAGTGATAGCCGTAGACAGATGACTTGATTGACAAGATAATTTACACAGGCAGGAATACGCTGCAGGAATATTTAGTTGTTTTACAGATCGAAACTTTTTAACTTCACTTTTATAGTTTAGATTTTAAAATAATACTTAAAAAACACATTGCAGCCAAAAACTTCTAAAGCCTTTCTGGTTTCAAAGAAGAACATGAGAAAGACACTCTTAGGTAGTAGAACTAACACTTACAAATCTGCTGATTCAAAAAAGCGCTAAATGTAAAGCTACGTTACATTTAAACATATCAGCAGTCTCAATGGGATTATTTCAAAATTACTCTCTGGATGCATATTTTAGGAGCAGGACCTGAAACATAACCTTCTCTGTAAAAACAAAAGAAAAGATTCAATGACAAGCTAAAAATGCACAAGGAGGACAAAAAAATGCCAAAGAAACAACATGCAAAAAAAGGAGGCAACAGTAAATAAATCACAGTGAAACAAAAGCCTGGTCCTGGAAACTTTACTAACACATCAAAAACAAGATCAGGAGAGTAAAATGGGATACAAGAGTCACAGAAACCTGGAATGCAATACCAGAAACAAATGAAACAGAGAGAAAGAAAATTTAAAAAAAAAAAACCAACAAAACATGCTACGACATCCATGTCTGAAATATTATCCCATAGATGATCGGGAAAATTATTCTTTTAATCTAGTGGCAATGTAAATCAGACAAATCCCATTCCTGATACTAGTTCTCAGCAGCCAGTCTGCAGTCAAGATCTGTAAGAGCTGTCAAGGACTGTGTTGAGTTAGTCCTTCACCCAGCAGCACATCACACCTATCCTCTTTAGACTCCCCAGAGCATGTATTTCTTCTTTACTCTCATTTCACTTGACCACAGAGCTTGTCTCAGTTTCCACACATTTGTAAGCACTTGCTGAACTTAGACACATCAGCAGTCGGACTGATGTTAAATGTATTGCTTGCCTTTGAGGCACATCCTCCCCTCCCAAATCCTGCCTGAACCCTCCAACTCTACCAAGCCACCCTGGGGTGGCTTCCCAGGAGCTCCCCTATTGCCTTGTCAAACGTATTCGCTCCGATGTGGAAAAAGTCATCCACATGGACAGTCACTGCCAAGGCAAACAGCAGGTACAGGTCTTGTCTAGGAGGTTCCCGAAGTTCTCTCCCACACACCCCCAGGAAGACGCCAGGAGCAGGCAGCAGCTCTTGACAACACCTGCATCCTTGGGCAAGTGCATGTTAGAGCATCCCCCTGCATCTGCTCCCTCTCTCACCTGCAGATGCTGTGCACAGCAACCCATTTGTACTGTACATTTTTGTCTAACAGATGTAAGATAAATGATTGCTACTTACTTAGGGTGTAGATGCAGCCCTAAGGAGTATAAGGGGCTGTGTAAATACAGACAAGCTGCCTTTTCTTTCCCTTTTTAGGGAATGGAATTTTTTTTGCCTCTTACCATAACTTCTCTTTATATCTGCTGTGTTTGGTTTTAGTCTCTTGGAGGAATATACAAAATCACTGGTTAAGTACGAGTAACTTGTTACTGCAGCAGCACATGAAAGAAAAATAAATACAGGAATAAATGTTTAAAAATAGGCACCTAACATGCCTGCCAAATACTTAATCTGCCACTATGTAGAATGCGAGTGCATAAAACATCCACTCGCATACAGATATCTAGTTAGTTCATAAGAGTTACCATCCACAGCATTTATTTGCTGGCATGTGCTAGTCCAAGGTATGCATATTTTTTCACATGTGTGGAGGATAGAGGGAGATCACCAAAGCTCTATCAGAAGTTGAATGCTTCTCACACATTTGTTTTTAATTGATATAAGCGGCAATGTCCAGTTCAGATAAAGAATTTGTGTTCTTAGGCTAGTCTGAATTTGGATCATTTTGCTTACAAAGAAACCTACAATTCAGAATCCATGCCTGGCAATTTCAGTTTAGATTTCAGCCCTATTTTTGTCAGCATTTCATGAAAAACCCCATAGGAAACAGAGCCTTCTTACAATATTCATCTTTTTTTCTTTTTTTTTTTCCAGAAATAAATTAGTGTCGACACAGGAAAACACATTCACATGAAGACCTCAAATTACCAGCTATAAGGCCTAAATGCCTGCCTGGCTTTAAGACTTAATTATAACTAGACTAAGGTTCTTCTACAAAAATAGTGATTTAAAAGAGAAAGAAAACCTCTTAGAGTTTCCAGTCGGGATGATTATGTTACTATAAACTTGAGTCTGTCTTCTCTGTTTGCTGTACACTTGCTCTCACTTGGTCTGATTCCCTACTGAGCAAAGATCATGAACTCTCTTTTTAGTCTGGGGGGAATGTGGGGGGATTTGGGGGTTGGTTGCTTTTTTAAAAAAGATTAATTTGACCCATTCATTAAGTCTCCAGAAACAGAGTGCTCTCACCCCCAACCTGCTAATCAAATGATCTTCTGGAAGTTTAAATGTGTGATTGGCTCCACTGAAATCAATGGGAGCACTGATAGAGAGCTTTATGCATACGTTTAAATGCTTTGCTAATCAGGATCAGGCAGCCTGGCACTTTGCAGGATCAAGCCAGAAAATGCTAATGTTAAACTTCTTCCAAATGAATGCTGGCATTGACTGAATGGCCTTTATACAAAACTGTACTTCAGTAGCAGCAACAACATGCACCATTGCTGCCGAAAGGAAGGTCCCACAATGCAGACCTCAAGGACTGACACAGAGCAATTGTGAGAGCAAATCAATGCGAAGAGGGGGTTCCTTGGAGTAAAGAAGCAGACGACTTTCCACACAGTCGATGGAGAATTTGATGAATACACAGTGCTGCAGTCTGAAATCTCTCATTAAAAATCTAAAACGCAGCTTCACTTCGCAGCATGCCACACGATTTTTTTCCTCAAAATCCTCCTCCTCCAAATGCCCATAGCGCTTAATTTGGAGCAGTCATTTAGGAGTTATCAAGAGAGGGCTGCTCTTCTAAGTCACAGGAAAGCAAGAGAGGAAGTCACAGAATGTTAGGAAAAGCCTGATGGCACAGAAACACAAGCGTAGAATTTCTGGCAATTACTTGCTCAGGGGGTAGAAGCAGCCCTACGTGGTAGAAGGGGCTATGCAAATACTGGAAAGCTGCACTTCCTTTCCATTTTTAGGGAATGGCATGGGGTTTTGCCATTACAGCGATGACACCCTACAAGCTTCTTCATGGGCAACAAAAGCCAGGGATGGCGAACTACCTTTGATTGCTGACAGCGAGCAGTTCCCTGGTGAAGGCAAACACCTACAGCCAGGAGAAAGGATGGGAGAAAGGGGACTCTCAGATGTATTTCCCTCATCACTCACTCGCTACTCAGGCTGGCGAGTAATGCACTTTTCACCCACATTCCTATAATGCTGTTTACCTTACTGTATAACTTCACTGCCTTCTCCTTGACAGCTGAATCAAACTGTACAGGACCAAGCATGTGTTCATCTTACATTCCTCCCTGTCCAAGCAAAACATTGAGCCCATGGGGGATTGGGACCCAGAGTTTCAAAACTGTCCCTCCTCAAAACCACTATGCATTGCGGCGGTAAGACTCACAAAAACGAGAGCTTTCTGTATGCGTGTCTCTCATCTTGCTGCTGTAATAAGCAGTTCCGAACAGAGTCTCTCTCAATTACAGTTGGTGATACATTAACTCTATGAGTCATTCATCCAAGTTTGTCAAATCTGTATTTAATTTTTTTTTTTAAATTTACTTGCCAAATAGGCATCAGTACATCAGTCAGCAGTGATTATATCAACGGCTTAGGAAAGGGGGGGTCACAATCAGCAATGCTACTTTTTCCCCAAAACAGTGCAGAACCTACACTGATTGCTTTCTCTGTAAATAACTCAGACAAGAAAAAATGCCAAACACTGGGCTAATAAACTAAATCAAATTCCATTGACAAAATGAAAAAACCCAACTGGGATAACTAGAATTACCAGTTAGCTTTTCAACGATATATTTCCTCTGTAAAAGTTTGGAAGGGTAACCACAGACATGTTAGACCCTTCGTGGGGTTTATAATGGACACAGCTGTTTGCTTAGTTCAGCAACAGTGAAGCTCTACAAGAAAAACTGCATATAAGCCGTGAGCTCCAAGAGAAACAGTATTAAGGAAATATGAAACAAAAAAAGTTTGGCAATTTGCATTCAATTAGGCAATCATTTATACAGAAAATTTGCAAGAAATGTCCTAAAATTGCCACTCACGTTTGGATTTTCTCTGTATTTCCCATACAGAAATAGGAGAAAATATTACAAGGGTTTCTTAGGAGAAAAAATGATCTACTGATACCTTCTCTGGAATCTCAGTGTCTGGACTTTGGGTTGTTTTTTTTTAAAATATTCTACTACCAAAAAAAAAAAAAAAGGCAGAACAGCAGTTCATTTTTTAGGACCTGTTCAGCCTTCTTACATTTCCGAGAAAATTTAGTTAAAACTATTAACAGTACTGCCAGAGAGACAGAATTTTGCAAATTAAGTTTGCACAAGGAGGCTATCCCTGGGTACAGATGAGGTTCAGATGAAGGTTCAGAGTTCGATTTAGGAACACAGAAATACCTTATATGAGATTTTGGGTGAACCTGGGAGATGGCTTGTGGCCAAATAGGAAAGCTTCAAACTCAACAGTCTACTTTTCCTTCAGTTTCTTTTCAGTAGAAA